GTTAATTCTAAAATTTAGAAAGAAATACAAAGGATCTAGAATATCCTAATCAATCTTGAAAAATTATAATGAAGTTTACTTCATGATCACTATATAGCTAAAGTTATTAAATAGTGTAGGTTCAGTGTAAGGATATGGGACCATGTAAGGAGTCCAAAATAGACCCTCATAACCAATGGTCAAATGATACTGACAAAGGTACCAAGATGACTCAGGAAAAGATGCTCTTTTCAATGACAATGCCAGCTAACTGGTTATCTATTTAGAAAAAAAAAAAAATGGACCTTGGCCTTTACCTCACACCCTTTATCAAAATTACTTTACTTCTTTAAAACATTTTTAAATTTATTTCCGAGAGACAGAGTGTGAGCAGGGAGGGGCAGAGAAAGAGGGAGGGAGACACAGGCTTGGAAGCAGGCTCCAGGCTCTGAACTGTCAGCACAGAGCCCGACACGGGTCTCGAACCCATGAACCAGGAGATCATGACCTGCGCTGAAGTCGGACACCTAACCAAGTGAGCCACCTAGGCGTTCCATAAATTACTTTAAAATAAATTATAGTTTGGGGCACCTGGGTGGCTCAGTCGGTTGAGCGACTGACTTTGGCTCAGGTCACATGATCTCACAGTTTGTGGGTTAGAGCCCCATATCAGGCTGTGTGCTGGCAGCTTGGAGCCCAGAGCCTGCTTGGGATTCTGTGTCTCCCTCTCTCTCTGCCCCTCCCCCACTCATGCTCTGTCTCTCTCTGTCTCAGAAATAAATAAATATTAAAAAAAATTTTTTTTGAAAAAAAAAATAAATAAATAAAATGAATTATAGTTTTAGCTTTTATGTTTAAAAGCAAATACAGGAAAAAAAAGTGTGTGTGAATGTGAGGAAGGAAAAGATTTCTTAGGACACAGAAAGCATGAACCACAACAGAAAAGAATTGCTAACAGTAGACTTTTTCAAAATTAAACACTCGGCTTTTACAAGGCAAGCCACTGACAAGGAAAAATATATACAGTAAATATAACTGATAGTGGAGTTATTTCCAGAAAATATAAAGAACTGTTATAAATCAACATTAAGAAGACAATCAGCATGATAAAAAAAAAAAGCAATATATGTGAAAGGACAGTTCTCAAGATATATGGATGGCCAAGAAGCACAGAGAAATTGCTCAATAGCATTAGGCATCATGGAAATGCAAATTAAAACTACTACCCCCATCTAGAAAAGCTAAAATTGGAAAGACTGACAATACCAAGTGTCGGACGATGTGAATCAGTAAGAGCCTTCATAGATGAATGGTGGGAACATAACGTGCTACAACTACTTTGGAAAACAGTTTGGCAACTTCTTAGGAGTTAAATATTTTCCATACAACTCATTACTTCCCAGGCATTTCCATAAGAAAAATCAAAACGAAAGACAGACACAAATGTTCAGATCGGCTTAACTCATAATAGACCCCAAACTGGAAATAATCCAAGGACACATCAACTGACAAACAGATAAACGTTTTGCAGCCTAAGCATTCGATGGCATATTCTTCAGCTATAAAAAGGAACAAATGCTGCATATAAATACGTCTTAAAAATATGGTGAACAAATGAAGCCATAGTATACACACTGTATAGTTCCCATTTACATAAGATTCTAGGATAGGCAAAACCGATCTACAAAGACAGGAAATAAATCAGTGGTTGCCTGGGGCCACAGCTGGAAGATACTGAGTGCAAAGGAATACATGGGATCTCTTAGGAGGTGAAAATGTTCTGTATCTTAACTGTGATGGTGATTACGTGATTCCATCTATATGTGTGTCAAAACTTAGTGAAATGTATAAATAAAAATGAGTATACTTCTTTGTATGTAAACTGAATCTCAACATATGTAAGCAAAAATAAAAAAATAAATTCTAGGTTTTGGTGTCTGTCTTTGTTATTTTTTAAAGTTTATTTATTTTGACAGAATGACAGAGAGAGTGGTGGTGGCAGTGTTGGGGGGGGGTGGGCAGAGAGAGGGAGAGAGAAAATCCCCAGCAGGCTCTGCACTGTCAGCACAGAGCCCGACTCAGGGCTCAAACTCACGAACGGTGAGATGATGACCTGAGCTGAGATCAAGTTGGATGCTTTACCGATGGAGCCACCCAGGCGCCCCGGTTTTTTTTTATTTTGTTTTGTTTTTTAGTTTGCAGACAGACAGCCGGGGCTTGTGCATCTGGGTGATGCATGGTAATGGAACAAGGTCTGCCAATGCCTTGGGACTGCTTTCCTTCAAACACAGTGACATCCCAGCTCTAGGAGTCCACTATTCTGAATGTCTCTGTTTACAGCACCCTATGCCAGGAGCTAGGAGAGGGTGATGAGGTGGTAGCTAACCAGCTAGAGCTGCTGTACTCCCAGAGTCTAGCACAGTGCCTCTTGGATGGACGAGTAAGACATGGGTAAAAGAAGCATATTTCCAGAGGAAACCTCAGATCTCTAGAATGGTATCAATGCAAAGACTGAGAGAGGGGGCTGGGGGAGGGAGCCACGCAGTGGCTTCAAAGAAAACCATCAGGCCAGGAAGTGCCTCAGTACTGGCTCTTAGAGCAAGCCCCGGCCAGGGAGTGCACAGCCTAAGCATTTCCAAATCCTAGCAGCGTCCTTCTTCATTGACTTCACTGGGCCAGGTCAACAGAACCATACTCACTGGAGTAGATTTCCCAGTGAGAGATTTTATATCCATGCACCTGCAACCCTCAAATAAGGTGCATCTCCAATCAGGGCCAGCCTGCAAAGTACAGCTCTCATTTTACCGGAACCCCTTGTGGAGCATCTGGCCTCTCCCAGGCCACTCCCAGGCAGGCTTATTTTCTCTGCACCCAGTGCCTCTTGCTTCCCACCATAGAAGCGTATGCACATCCCAAATCAATTAATCAGCATGGGCTTCTTCCCAATGACAGCCAACAAAGACATTCTAAACATGGCTTGACTTCGCGCACACAGCTCTTGCTACATCCATACTCCCCCTTGGCTCATATTGTGACCCATCTGTTGATGAGAAATTAACGACACACAGTGTGTCACATATGCCCATACGTTTATTGTAGGATTCAAGCTAGAAGTCATGCTTTTGGGAAAGCTGCAGAGAAGTGTGTGGAACAGGCTGTGTTGGCTCTCTTCCATTAAGTAAGATGAGCCTCGGCTCCCTGGGAAACATCTGATCGGAAATAGCAAAATGTCCTGCTAAGTAAACCAACATGATAAAGGAAAATCATGAGCATGATGAAGCCACAGACATTAGAGACGAGTGATAGAGGGGAGTTATGTGAGGGTGTGGGGTCACCAGTGATGCTTTGAGGAGGGTAGGGCAGGGAGGACTGTGCTTTGCCCCACAAGCCTGGAATGCTGGGAGTTAACAAGTGCTCAATTACCTTAATGATCATCAAACCCAAAGTTCAACATATATTTAAAATACATTTTTGTTCAAGGTATATTCATTTTTCAGAAACAGAGACAGAGCGTGAAGGGGGGAGGGGCAGAGAAAGAGGGAGACACAGAATCCGAAGCAGGCTCCAGTCTCTGAGCTGTCAGCACAGAGCCTGACGCGGGGCTGGAACTCACAGACTGTGAGATCATGACCTGGTCTGAAGTCAGACACTTAACTGACTGAGCCACCCAGGTGCCCCCAAATTCAACATATTTGACAGACTTCTAACTGCTTTCCCAAAGGTAATAGCATTGGCAGAGGAATTTCTTGGATTCCCCAAAAGACTCTTTTGAACTACTAGGTAAGGGATAACTATGTTTTGGGGTATTTTCCCCCATTTTCGGAGATGGCAGTTTCGATCACCACCTCTTTCTGCCCAACTTGAAGAAGCAATACAATGTAATTAACGGTAACGATTTGGACTGAGGATCATGAGACTAGCTTTCCTCTTTTTATTTTTATTAAAAAAAAATTTAACACTTATTTATTGTTGAGAGGCAAAGAGAGACAGAGCACAAGCAGGGGAGGGGCAGGGAGAGAGGGAGACACAGAATCCAAAGCAGGCTCCAGGCTCTGAGCTGTTAGCACAGAGCCCGACGTGGGGCTTGAACCCACAAACCGCGAGATCATGACCTGAGCCAAAGTTGGATGCTTAACTGACTGAGCCACCCAGGCACCCCATGAGACTAGCTTTCTATTCCTGGTGCTGCCCATTAGAGGCCAAATGACCTTAGATAAGTCACTTATTTTTTCTGAACCTCACAAGCGGTTAGACCACACTTGGAATTTCCCTAGCTCCTTCTGAATCTTTCCATGTTGTATCCAGAATGTTCCTTTAGCTTGTCTTCTAGTAACAACAATTTACTTGGCCTCCCAGTGGAAGGCCAATGCTGTTGCTCCCACCTGGCATTTGATCAACTTCACTAGTGCAAGAAGACCTAACAATTGTAAATATTTAGGCACCCAACATGAAAGAACCCAAATATATAAAACAATAACAAACATAAAGGAACTCATCGAAATAATACAATAATAGTAGGGGACTTTAATTCTCCACTCGCAGCAATGGACAGATCATCTAAACAAAAAATAAACAACGATCAACTTTACTGAACAAATGAATGAAAAATCACATACATAAATGAATTCCTGACTCCTTCCTGCACACTGGCTTTCTCTGTGGGCTGCAATTGCTTCCAATCAAACAGGAGTATAAAAATTAATTTAAATTATGCTCCGTTACTCAGTCCTTATTCAGGACCTTCTATGTACCAGGCATCAAAGTAGGAAATGCTTGCACTTGTCAAAGACATACGAAAAGATCCCTGCCCGTAAGAAACTCCACGTCCTTTGCTTTGTCTGCGACTCCACACCAACAGTTAGGACATTAGTCAGGGTCCAATCAGGAGACAGATACTATATAACTATTTAAATAAGGGAAGCTTAACATAAAGAATTACTACCTAATGAAAAAACAGTAACTATAAAAGAGAGCTTTATAGGGTACCATAGGGCTGAGAGAGAGTACCCAAAGTCCCCTACCTGGTTGAAGAAGGTAGAGTTGAAGTCTGTCGGATGGAAGAGAAGTGTGTGGGATGGGCCAGGCCAGAGCTGGTCCACAGTTCCTGGGAGAGCAGGAAGCAACCTTCTGAGAGGTAGGTAAGCCACAGCCAGTGACCAGATGTTTCAAGGAGGCATGGCGCACCTGGTGTCCATGTCGCGAGGGCAGACCTGAGGGGGAAGGGGCGTATGAGCAGAGGGAGCCATGGCTCGCTTGAGCAGGCATGTGGAGAGGCTAAAGGTCACAGTCTGGGCAGAGGACCTACGGCATGCAGTGTCTGTGTTGAAAGAACCGTGGGGAAGTGTGAGGGCAGCACTGCAGGGTCACTAGGGGACTGAGTACCCTGGGCCTCTGGCTGGGGCAGAGAGCCACCAGATGTCTTCACGTTCACAGGCATGACTGATGGGGCTGCTGGCAGAACCCACAGGAGAAGCCTCTTCCTCCTGCTCTGTTCCTCCAGCGGCCTCCACCAAGAAAGCTTAACCTGTGATCACTGTAAAGAAGACCTTAAAGGGATTCCAACCATTATTTTCAGAGCAGCTGTTGAAGAGGACATTCAGAGCTGAGAGGCAGAAGCTGCTATCAAAAGGGCCCTACGCTGGGGGGTGGGGGTCAGACCTTCTGAGTGCACCTGAAACTTGGGTTTCTTGGCTTTATTCATCTGTGCCACGGAGAAATACCTGTTTACTTTACTAACCAAGAATACTGTGAGGCTCCAATAAGCAGCGTGAAAGGGCTCTGCAGAGTGTAAAGTAGTACACATCTCCAGCGGGTCCCTGCCATGTTAGCTGTGCTCAGTGTTACATTTGCTGCCCCAACAAGCTGGGTGATGTGCCACCTGGTGTTAAGGCCTCGGTGATGAGACCCTGAGACCCTGTCTTATGTATTTTGAATTGCTGGCAGCTAGTGCTCTAGGCACAAAGCAGGTGGTTAATTGGTCTTTGTTACCAGAACTGTATGTTTCACTTATTTATTGAGAATCTCTTTTAAGGATTTTTTTTTTAATGTTTATTCATTTATTCTTGAGAGAGAAAGGTAGAGAGCAAGCAGGGGAGGGGGAGAGAGAGAGAGAGAGAGAGAGAGAGAATCCCAAGCAGGCTCCACACTGTCAGCAGGGAGCCTGATGCAGGGCTCAAACCCATGAACTGTGAGGAAACCAAGAGTCAGACGCTTAAGTGACTGAGTCACCCAGGCGCCCCAGAGTCTCATTAACTGAGGTGCGGAAGCTGCAGGCCATGCCGTATCTGACCCATGAAGGGGTGGGCTCCTTGCAAGTGAATCTCTCTCATGCTTCCCCACCTTTCTTCCTACCACCAGAAAGCTGCCGGAGGCATCGCTGAGGAGAGCCTCTTAGCCTCCTGACCAGCCTCTTCCTGGGGACCTGGGGTGATGCCTTCATTGTAGATCCTGATACTCAAGCAAAACAGGAGTTCCAGTAGGACCTCGCTTGCTGACCGATTACGAAGTGGGTGAATAACGTATAAATGAATGAATGAATGAGCAAACAGAGTTGCCCAGCTAAGGTCTTGTACAGTATCCTATTTGAGTGTGATAATCACGAGGCTATCAAAATCAATTGTTCCTTAAATATATGTCTTTAAAAAACAAAAATCTTTGTCCATTCCTTTCTCTTATTACTCCCTCCCTTCCTTTTTTTTTTTTTTTTAAGTTTATTTATTTTGAGAGAGAGCAAGCAAGCAAGCACACAAGCAAGGGAGGGGCAGAGAAGGAGAGACATAATTCCAAGTAGGCTCTGTGCCATCAGCTCAGAACCCGATGGGGGGCTTGAACTCATGAACTGTGAGATCACGACCTGAGGTGAGATCAAGAGTCAGACACTTAACTGACTGAGCCACTCAGGTGCCCCTCCCCCCACCTTTTATTAAATCAATGAAGAAATATGGGTATATATGCAAAACAACTTATTGGATTTTTGCAGCAGAAAGCTCACAGCACAATACACCGTGGTTCTGTCTGGGCATCGCGGATACAGCTCTTGGAGGTCAGAAGAGTCTCACTCTGTATGAAGGGTAAGTTCCTGGGCATCTGCAGCCTCCACCCTGCTCGTCCTGGCACTGCTGTTGATTCAGGTAGGGAGAGAGCTGGAAGCAAGCTGTGGCTGGAGGGGGCAAAACCTGTGGACATGCTGATTGGTCTAGGAGAGAAACCTCCTGCCATCTGGCTCTCCTCCCCCATAAAGGTAGTCCTGAAGGAGAAGTAGAAAAAGGCAAGCACGTTTAATCAGTCTCAAACATATCCTGGGACATTTCAGAGATCCCTGCAGGAAACTGAAGCACTGCATGCTTTTTAAAACTAAACGTCACTGATGCAATTAGAATTTGGGTGTTTTTTGTTTGCTTGTTTGTTTTGTTTTGTTTTTTTGTTTTTTCTGCCCAGGTTAGGACACATTTTGTGGATGAAGTTCAACCAGTAAGCCCTTAGATAGATTTCGGCATGGTGCTGGTTAATTGTCTGAGGCAGAAACAACTTGGCATTGCAGAATCAGTTTGTTCTGCTTTTGATACACAGGAGGGTGGGTTCAATGCTGCAGGGTGAAACTAACATATGGAAGAAGTCTTTCATTCATTCATTCCCCTGCCTGAAGCAAATCCTGTGAGTTTCATATAATGTGAATGAGATCTACTTGCAGATAAGGGAACACATTTAGAGAAGGAGGCACAGAGGTGGCCCTGAAGTGGGTTGGTCTTCTGTACCACACAAAGGTAACCTGATCAGTTGGTTGATATCTCATCCACTCTTTTTCTCGGTTTCCTCTTTGGCTGTGCTACACTATCAACACTTAGTCTGGAAAGAGAGGGAGCACTGTTTTCAGTTGTTCTTTTCCTTCCACAAATTCAGCAAATGGTAAAAAGAGAGAATCACGTCAGGCTACCAGAGGTACAATCCTCCTTGGCTTCCTAGGGAAGTGAAGGGAGAGGTTGAAGTTCAAGTTCTCAGAAGTGTAGAGGAAGGTGAGGGTGAGGTCCATTTCCTCCCTGTAGGGAACTGGTCTCACTGCTCTGTTGTGGCAGGTGGGTAGCCAATTGAAAGGGACTCAGCAATGTTTCCCCCGTTTTCAGAGAAGGGGGTATTTTGTTTATTTAGAATGGAGGGTTAAGAGTGTCAAGCTGGTTTTCCGCCTTGAGAATCAGTCATTGATTTTAAAGACTTCTCTTACTCAGTGTCTACTTGAGAATTGAAAGGTATAAACGATGCCTTTGATATTTTTGTCCATAGCCCTCTAACATGTTTACCACTGAAAAGATCTGTTAAGAAAAGCTACAAGGGACACAGAGAAAATTGTGATTGCATTCAATGGCACTTGAATAGAGAACTCCAAGTGCCCAAATCTTGTCCTGTCAATCACTCCTCAACTTTTGACGTTCCCAAGGGAGCTGCATACAGAAAAACTGATAGCAAATGGGAAGCAGAGTGAGACTTTATTATTACTCTTCAGAGCTTCATATAGCTGGATCAGAGCACACGGCTCACTCTTAAGACTTAAGAACGGCCCCCCCCTCCCCTATACACTCTGCTTCACCTCAAATTCTCCAGTATCACTAGCTCCTGCCAACTATATGGCATGTAACTAAAACAACAGCATTTTACTAAGGTAGAGAAAGATGGCTAGGCCCCAAGGGATTCCTGGTTCCACTGATAATTCCAACCCATGAACTGAAAGCAAGGAGTGCAAGAGTACCAGGAGAGGATTACCATGCACAGACATGGTCTTTTGACATTACTCTGTTCGCTGGTACACATGGCCAACAGTGTTTCCTTTTTTTAATTTTTAGAAAAAACTTGATTTCAGTACTGTTGACACACAATTTTATGTTAGTTTCAGGTGTACCACATGGTGTTCAACTTCTTTATACGTTACGTTATGCTCACCACAAGTGTAGTCACCATCTGTCACCACACAATGCCTTTACAATACCGCTGTGTTCCCTATGCTGTGCCTTTTATTACCGTGACTTATCCATTCCATAATAGGAAGCCTGTAACTTCCACTCCCCTTCGCTCATTTTGCCCATCTCCCAGCCCTTCTCCCCTCTGGCAACCATTCGTTTGTTCTCTGTATTTATAGGTCTGATTCTGCTTTTTTTTTTTTCCTGGATTCTGCATATGCGTGGAGTCATCTGGTATTTGTCTTTCTCAGCCTGACATATTTACTTAGACTGATACCTTCTAGGTCCATCCATGCTAGCACAAATGGCACAATTTCATCCTTTTTAATGCTGAGCAATATTCCATTGTTCTACACCTTCTTTACCCATTCATCTATTGATGGACACTTGGGTTGTTTCTCTATCTTGGCTGTTGTAAATAATGCTGCAATAGACATAGGGGGGCAAATACGTTTTTGAATTAGCGTTTCTGTTTTCTTTGGATAAATATCCAGTAATGGAATTATTGAATAATACAGTATTTTTATTTTTAATTTTTTGAGGAACCTCCCTACTGTTTTCCACAGTGGATACATAAATTTGCATTCCCACCAACAGTGCACAACTCCTTTTCTCCAAAGTGCACAAGTCCTTTTTCTCCAAATCCTCACCAACACTTGTTAACTTCTTGTCTTTTTTTATTTTGGCCATTCTGACAGGTGTAAGGTGATATTTTATGGTCGTTTTGACTTGCATTTCCCTGATAATAAGTGACGTTGAGCATCTTTTCATGTGTCTGTTGGCCATCTGGATGTCTTCTTTGGGAAAATGTCTATTCAGGTCTTCTGCTCATTTTTTAACCAGACTGTGATTTTGGTATTTAGTTATATAAGCTCTTTATATATATTTTGGATATTAACCCATTATCAGATATATCATTTGCAACTATCTTCTTCCATTTAGTAGCTTGCCTCTTTTCTTGATGGTTTTCTTCACCACACAAAAGCTTTTTAGTTTTATGTGTCTCAACAGTTTATTTTTGCTTTTGTTTCCCTTGTTTCAGGAGACATATATAGAATAATACTGCTATGGCTGATGTCAGAGAAATTATTGCCTAATTTCTCTTCCAGGAGTTTTGTGGTTTCAGGTCTCACATTTAGGTCTTAAGCCATTTTGGTTTATTTTTGTGTATGGTGTAAGAATGTTTCATTCTTTTGCAGGGAGCTGTCTAGTTTTCCCAACACCATTTGTTGAAGAAACTATTTTTCCCACTGTATATTCTTGCCTCCCTTGACACAGAGTAATTGACCATATAAGCATGGGTTTATTTCTGGCATCTATTCTGTTCCATTGATCTATGTGTCTATGTTTGTGCCAGTACCATACTGCTTTGATTACTACAGCTTTGTAGTATATCTTCAAATCTCGAATTGTGATACCACCAATTTTGTTTTTCTTTCTCAAGACTGCTTTGGCTATTCTGGGTCTTTTGTGGTTCTGTATAAATTTTAGGATTATTTTTTTCTAGTTCTGTGAAATATGCTGTTGGTATTTTGATAGGGATTACATCAAATCTATAGATCGATTTGGGTAGCAGTCTGGACACTGTACAATTATGAACCCTTCCAATCCACAAACATGGAATATCTTTCCGTTTGTGTCTTCTTCAAATTCTGTCATCAATGTTTTATAGTTTTCAGAGTAGGGTTCTTTCGCCTCCTTGGTTAAATTTAGTCCTAGGTATCTTATTATTTTTGGTACAATTATAAATGGAATTGTTTTCTTAATTTCTCTTTCTGCTACTTTTGTTATTAGTGTATAGAAACACTACCAATGTCTGGCTATTAACTTTATATTCTGCAACTTTACTGAATCAATTTATTTCTTTTAGGAGTTTTTTAGTGGAGCCTTTAGAGTTTTCTATGTATATAGTATGATGACAACCAATATCTTATAATTGATCCAATGGAATGGCAAATCATTTTCCCTTAAGAGACACTGGAAAGCGAGAGAGAGAGAGAGAGAGAGAGAGAGAGAGAGAGAGACAAAGAGAGACAGTTAATAGGGACAATAGGAAAGTAAGTAGAGAACTAGAAATAGTTTTCCCCTATAAAACATTCACCCTCTCTGTACAATAAATGTTCTATTTACAACTTGTACAGAGAAGCTTGTGAAATAATAAAATATATGATTCTTTAGTAAAATGTAGAATACATATTTAGTCTTAGCTGATGAAATAGGGAGTAATTATTTAATTATAGGGCAATTACTCTCTTCTCAAAGATAGGATTCCACAGAAAGAAAATTAGACTTTTTGAGGCCCCACCTTTTCAAGTAGACACTTTTGTAACCTGGATGTCCCAGCACAGAATACACTAAATATAGCAATTAACTAAATAACAGCTAAATATAGCAATTAACTGACATACAGAAAACCTGAAAGACTCTACCAAAAAATTACTACGACTGACAAGTGAATTCAGTAAAAGTGCAGGATACAAAATCACTGTGAAGAAATCTATTCCATTTCTTTTTTTTTTTTTAATTTTTTTTTAACGTTTACTTATTTTTGAGAAGAGAGAGACAGAGCATGAGGTGGGGGGAGGAGAGAGAAAGAGGGAGACACAGAATCCGAGGTGGGCTCCAGGCTCTGAGCTGTCAGCACAGAGCCCGACATGGGGCTCGAACTCAGGGACCACGAGATCATGACCGGAGCCAAGGTCGGATGCTTAACAGATTGAGCCACCCAGGCACCCCGAAATCTATTCCATTGCTATATACTAATAGTGAAGCAGCAGAAAGAGAAATTAAGAAAACAATACCATTTATAATTGCACTAAAAATAATAAAATACCTAGGAATAAACCTAACCGAGGCGAAAGACCTGTACTCTGAAAACTATAAAACATTTATGACAGAACTGAAGAAGACACGAAGAAATGGAAAGACATTCCATGCTCACATATCAGAAGAACAAATATTGTTAAAATGCATATAGTACACAAAGCAATCTATACATTTAATGAAATCCCTTAAAATACCAATAGCATTTTTCAGAGCTAGAACAATCTTAAAGTTTATATGGAACCACAAAAGACCCCAAATAGCCGAAGCAATCTTGAAGAAGAAAAGCAAGGGGCGCCTGGGTGGCGCAGTCGGTTAAGTGTCCGACTTCAACCAGGTCACGATCTCGCGGTCCGTGAGTTCGAGCCCCGCGTCAGGCTCTGGGCTGATGGCTCAGAGCCTGGAGCCTGTTTCCGATTCTGTGTCTCCCTCTCTCTGCCCCTCCCCCGTTCATGCTCTGTCTCTCTCTGTCCCA